GGGGACTAGGAGTCTATGGGCGGTATGAAATATGTGAATAGGCGGGGAAAACCCTCTGTCTAAATTCACTATGTTCAATTACCCACCATAGTCTCTGGCCAGTCAAAATGACTATTTTGAACTGTAGGTCAGAGACAGAAGCTGATAGGTGGCGGGTTTCTGAGCGAACCGAAAGCGATAAAAACGATGTCCCAGTCCAGGATAATACCCGCTACCTATGACCACCTAGTTGAGACCAGTGAAAAATGGTGTCCTACCGTGCCAGTGCTTATCCCCTGAACAAATCTAAATGCTGAATGGTGACAGGGTTCAGTAGCATGAGGGCATAGGTAGAAAGCGAGACCTTGAAAGTTCCAAGGAGCGCTGACAGGAGAAACTTCGCACAAATCTGTAGCAGACTACTCTATCTCCTATGTGCAGGGATCTCTACGGTCGCCCGGGCTGGGTCAGCAACCAAAGACTGACCCGCTACGACGGGACCTTCCCTAAAAAGAGCTTCCTCAATGGATTGGGTATCTCTTAGGTAGAAGTGGTAAAGACATTTTGCTAATGAGTTAGCAATCGCACAGACCTCATGTGCTCGTACTTGGTGTCTCAGTACATATAAACCTTGAACCTGGTCGCAGTGATACACCTGACAATGGAAGTCGGGGCGGCTGGTCTGTCCTGCTTACCCTGGCCACATAAACATGTGCTTGCTGCCTCGACTCCTTAGTACAGCTCTCGTAGAAACTCAATGCTCAGTGGTTCCCTCGTTCAGGGTCTAGGCCTCTGATTAAGCAGTAAACAGTCTCATATTAGTAGGACAACCGGCTAGCCTCATTCCCAGAGAATTCTCCATGGTGGGTGACAAAGCTGATCTGTAGCCAACAATCGCTGAAAGGACAAGTGCATTTCGTCAAACAGATGGACGAAAAGTCAGCTGCCTGGCCAACAGAGGAATGGCATGGATCTCCCTTCCACTACACCAATCAGTGTACGCTTGTTATTTCGAGGCATAGGCTGTGTTGGTGGAATTCCTGTTCGCCCTGGCCAGGACGTTGACATCCCACTCAGAAAAAGCCTGAGTGAGTCAACTGAGAACCTCAATGCTCAAAGGCAATACGCTGTCCGGTTGAGACATCCGATCCGGAAGTACCCCTGGTGTTCCGACTAACATTTCCAACAATAGTGGAAACCAGACCTTGCTTGGCCTGTTGGGCGCCACCTGTGTCAAAGTGCAGGTGCGCTCTTGCCGAAGTTTCTCCAGTATCCAGTGAATAGTGGGAAGAGAGGAAAGCTGTACACGTCCATGTGGGTCCACGGGGTGGACAAAGCGTCCCTGGTCCAGGCTCCTGGAGTCAGCAGGAGTGTCGTGTACGTTGGGAGCTTGGCATTTCGGGATATGGTGAATAGGTCTAACCTTGGATCATCCCACCACCGCAACAGTCTTCCACTCCGCGTTCTGGAGACGCAGTCGCCATGAAAGGGCATCCGCTTGACTGTTCCTCACCCCTGGAAGGTGTTGTGTGGCTAGCTCCACATTGTATTACAGGTACCGAAGAAGAATTTGCTCAGCTAGGACTGACAACGATGGGAGATCTGGTCCCCCCTCCTTGTCGCTATAGGAGACCACCGCTGTGTTGTCAGTGCAAAGCAAGACTCTGTGGTCTCAAACTATGGGTAGAAAGTGTATCAGTGCTAAGTGCACTTCTTTCAGTTTGAGCCAGTTGATATGGCAGTCCTGAACCCAATACAGGGGCCATATTCATTGGGCTTGTTCATCCAATAGGTGCACACCCCAACCTGTGAGGAAGGCATCTGTTACCAGAGTCATAGCCATGGTGAGTGGGTCTAAGGGGACCCCCTGCCTGAGGTCAGCAAGTGCCGGCCACCAGAACAAGGTATCCCTCGCTTGGTCCGAGAGTCTTACTCGCCTCTCCAGTTTTCGTAAGTGAGCCCAGAGCGACGTTGCCAGTCTCGGTAATTTGCACACAGCCTTGGAAAGCATCCCAGGCCTCGGAACCCCAGCTGTTACAAAAAAAATCTTCTAGGCAAAACCCCGAGCCCTGCACACAGTCGAAACACAAATAGCATTACTATGTGGGTTGCAAGCTGGTATTTCCTAGTGGCAACTGTTGTACATTCGCCCCATTTCCATTTCTAAAAACACACTGGTAAAAATGAACAAGACATGCATGAGAGAAACGAATTACAGTCAAAAGCTGACACAGAGAGATCCAACGAACGTGGTCACATTTGCGTCACCCGAGTTTTTTCTTTCTTGTAAGGCAATACGCACAAAAAGGTGACATGGGGGTAAATAATAAGAAAGACTTATCCTATCAGCCACAGCGTGGACTGCCACGCAGGTGACAGCTAGTCAGGCCAAAAACTCAGACAGGAAAAAAATCTGGATGATTGATCTCATCGTTTTTATCGATCCACACCGAAAGCAGAGAAAAAAACAGAGTGGCGAAGAAGGCAACCTGACCTGAGGTCAGCAATTGCCGACCACCAGAACAAGGTATCCCTCGCTTGGTCCGAGAGTCTTACTCGCCTCTCCAGTTTTCGTAAGTGAGCCCAGTGTTGCGACAAAGTGTGCTGTATCGGACGGCTGTGTAACGGGGCCTGGGGGAACTACCCTGTGAACTGAGGTCATCATACGGATGATCCGCATCAGTACTCGGAGGGACACAGAGGGAACGCTGACTAGGCGTTCGGCTAGGTCACTTTAATGGGCAACGGGCCTGCAATGACCGTACCAAGCCCCCCGCTATGTTGATCTCCTTGCCCAGAAAGACCAACTGTTATGTTGGCCGAGGAGGGACTTTGCCTGATTTACTAGGAAGCCCAACTGGTGTAGTAAATTCTGTAGCCTTACTGTTCGGCTAACCACCAATCATTTGGGTTGTGTAGCAACTAGCTGTCTAGGTACGGGTTGATGTGTACCGATGCCATGCAAAACCCGAAGGGAAGCACCCTGTACTTGACTACTTGGTCCAACTGGGCAAATCGAGGATGTCACTGATTCACTGGGTGTATCAGTATGCGTGGGTAAGCATCGCTCAAATCTAGCGAGGCTAACCAGTAAAAACAGAGCACAGAGAGTAATACAGTGCTTGGTGTTTCCAGGAAACACATACTGATTTAGTCTGCTTAAGTCCAGAA